AGGTAACATTTCATAAGGTGGGCATTGTATTGTAAATTCCGCTTTGGCAGCAGGTGGTTTTGTGTTGACTCCCCGAGTTGTCTATTCTCCTGTCCCAACTTGAACACTAATCCTACCCCCGACCTTACCTATCCTAACACGAACTTCCCACGGAATTTAGTGCAGGGTCGTCTGTGCTACGGTGCATATCTATAAACCTCTCACACGTAGTTCAGTGCCAACCGTACAGATCGAGGCACAGTCCGCGCTTTCACTAGTCGCATAACAAGCCTCTCGAAGTGCAACCTTGCATGTCCCATCACACATTGCATTCCTTCTAAGTGGCATTAATTAATCTGTGGATAGTAGACGGTGCTAAGGCACATGCCATTTTCTGTAAATCAGTTTTTCCTGAAAAAGAACATCCTTTTTTCCTTAAGTTGCTAATTTTCAAGGAATGCAATTTGAAGGCATCCTCTCAATGAACTTATTAATGCACCAGGAAATCAGGCAAAGAAAATTGCAGCACGCAGTAAAGGGACTCGAATCCCACTGAGGCCGCCGAGTTTTTAACAATTGGTTCTAATATACCGACCCCCCTCTACTAATTAAGTGTGCCTGGTAGTCATCTAGGAGATTTTAGATTGATTGCTAAGGAAATACTGTTTGGGTAGTCGGGTTATTGTATCATTATTAGTGGATTTCATACGTTGCAGTAGGCTGGACGGATAACTTGACCCAAGTGTGATTGAACTCATCGTTCCGGCGGGGGCCTTGCAGTTCAGTTGGTTGGAGCGTTGGCTTTACTAAGGCCCTCACCCTACTGTCATGGGCTTGAATCCTACCAAGACCGCCGAGTTTTTCATAATTGGGTTAACTGAATGCAGCAAATGTTAGTGTTTTTTTATCCACAACTCTGCTTAACAATGGGTTTAAGTTTTCTGATATTTTGTATTGTTCATATTGCAATGTCGGGGCTCAAAAGGGTGTCAACTGCTAGAAAATTCGGTCCTTTTGGTGAGAGCCACTGGAAAACTGATGCCTCTTAAATAGGCCACGCTTTTGATGCGCTGGGCCAGTAAGAGGCCAGATCAGGGTACCGTAGGCGTACTTGCGGATACGCACCCATAACAAGTGCGAGCATGGGGTAGGGATGTGGTGCACGCCTAGGTACGGGTTCCCGCCGCGCCAGCCACTTGCATCTTTGCGCCGGTTTTCTTGACCTAGTCATGACACCAGCTCCGGGTGGAAGAGGAGGAGGAGCAATTGTGATAAATGCAGCGCAAGTCTGCTATCACCATAAACTAATCGGCCCTGCGCCACCTTGTTGTGTGGCACACACTGAACCTCGTCCGAATTGGGGGTCGAATGACTAAAGGACTGAATGTCAGGCCACGGCCGTTCCTTGATTTGGTCGCAATGGCATTCCCACCTATGTGAGGTCCCAACCGCCCACACAGTAGGTTAAAAAAGACTGGAATGGCAACTTCTGGCTTTTTATCCCTCATCAGCAAGCCATGCATAATCCCAGGTGGTGACCCAGGTCTCGAAACCGCGATCTTTTGATTATGAATCCAGCACGCTAACTCTTGGGCCACAACCTCGTGATGATGCCGGTTTAGATCGGCAATATTCGCATTGGTTCATAGGCGCTCGTTGATTGGTTACTGGACTCGCTCGTCCCGTTCTGCCTTGGGATTCGTTCTTGAGCCCCACCAGAAGCCGCACAATGGCTAGTAGTATAAGCAGAATGACAACTTCTGGCCCAGATCGTGTAAGTGGAACATGCATAGACGGGAAGTTTGAGTTTGCCAACCACCGCATTCGAACCTACCACCGACTGTCTTGACATTTTCATACCATTGCTGCAAGATGAATGAGAGAAAAGGAGGGCCCGGTAAGTGCCGCAGACTTCTACTTCACCACAAAGAGGACTACTCATGGGCCCTCGGTGTTGCGCCCGCTCAGTGGGGGTACGCTTTTGACCTCGTAGTTCACGACGATCGAACTGTCACGTCAGTAAAACCTGATTAACAGTCTTTTCTAGTTGAAAGCATATTTGCAGATTTCGGCCAATGCTTGTCGATGCATTGCAAG